TTTCCAAAACTGTAATTGAAATAAAGAACTTTTTGAAGAGTTGCACTGAGTGCTTGATTAAAAATTTAAGTAGTTATTGCTAAGTATTTGTACTTCAGCATGTTTCTGACCTTGGTAGAGATAGGTGTATAAAATTAGTTAGAAATTTCTATTCTAAATTTCGAGTAATACCGTACAGTGTTGAAATCAGTAGGGTGGTAGCACTTCTGCAGATCAGGTCTCGGGAAGCAGGTTGATTTTATTTGAAATAGTGGAAAGAAAAAGGCATTCTGAAAAGGACAGGGTTTCTTTCTGCATGTAATGGGTATGAGAGATGATGAATCTCAAGCTGTGTTTCAAGTACAGTTTTGATGTGTGTCATTTCAGTAGAGAAATCTGTTTAATTAGCACTTTATGGCACTTTGTCATGGGGTTTTTAGGAATGATTGCAAATTGTTATAATCGATTGATTCAGTTTACCTTCCGGTAAATTGCACTGGTGCAGTCCATGCTCTTCCAGCGTTAATGTGTCCCTTAGGAGCATGCCTTGGTAGAAGTACACGGGTGTCTGCAGCATCTCCATGTGGCAGATGTTCTGTGACAGCTGTTTTGTGCCTATTGATTTTGACTGGCTGATGCTCACCACTGCGGCGATAGAAGGGGATTAAGGCTGGGTCCAGGGTCCTTGGGACAGGACACCAGTCTGAAAGGTGCTGCAGTGTTTTAAGCCAAACTTAATCTTCCTTTGGGCTGCTGAGTCTGCTGCTCTGCTGTCTGTACACTGCGCTGTGGGACCCCAGGCTTCCCAAGCTGCATGTTTTGTAGCCCCTCTTGCTCCCTGCAGAGCCCATTTTGCGTATAGTTCCACCTAAACTCCACTCAAGTGCTGTTATATGCCCCTCTGGTAACAGCATGATGTTCAGACTTTTATAGAATATGTAGAAGCTGAAATCTAAGATGGATTATAAAAGCAATATGATTTCCTATTGAACAGAAGTAAAATAGCAATAATAATTTGATGTAAGTATTAATTACTAGTTCATTGTGTCATCTGGCTAACTGTAGTGTACAGAATGCATTGTAATACTGAAATGTGGAAGTTCAGAAGGTGGTTAGGGCAAAGAATCCCAAACCCAGCGGAAGCTCTTCCCTATTTACTCAATTGGAGACAAAATCCTTTGTTCACACAGTTGTGTAGGAGCTGTCAGAAGTCTGAGAACATACTCAGATTGCCGTAAGAATAACTGTAATAGTCTCAAGACTTTATTTCAGAGCCAGTTATGGTTTTATTGTCTGAAAGAATCCTCTTGTAAAGCATTACCCAGCTGTTGTGCTGGCCAAACTTGATGGAAATGACACAGTTACTGAAGGTACCGTCTGACACAGTTACTGAAGGTACCATCTAACACAGTTCAGGAGAGTTGATTTGTAACACGACATGGAGTAGCAGCAGTACTTAACTAAGAATACTGCTTTGAAATGGAAATCTCATTTCAATTTTAAATTTATTTTATTGTCCTAGATACAGAACTTTGCTTTTGACAGTATCGCTGTACTGCTGTATTGTTACTAAACGATCTCAGGAGAGCAGCTGAAGAATTTTTCTGGAAAGGGAAGAAAGAGAAATTCTGACACTGCAGACCCTTCTCAGTATGTCCCAGTGGAAGAGTGTGGTGGGAAGTGTGGGGCATGTCACTGCTCAAGGGTTTTCTGACCTTACCATACTCGTCCTTGCCAGGTAGAGATCAGCTTTGGGTTGACTACTCTTGAGAACTTTTGTGAATGCTAGTATTTGTTGATTAAAAGTGGCTAAATGTGTGTGAGTTTTGTTGGAGAGGCCTCTTCAGTTGCTGTTGTTAGTGCATTAGGGTTATACAATGTGATTTTTATTGTTGAGTTCAAGTGTAATTTTGCTAGATTTTTCACTTTGTTCCACTAGATGGCCCAAGCATGCTTTCAAGTGCCCTATGAGAACTGAAACTTTTATTTCCTTTCTAAAATAAATTTGTGTTTTAACTGAAGTTAAAATTTTGCATCCTGAAACATATGTAAACTTTGTTTAGAATACAAACAGTGTATCACCCAAGAGAGTTTTGGTTAATGTAAGTAATATGTGGTAATGTAGATTACATCTTGTATGATCTTCCATGTGCCTCCTCTTCCTTGATTAGAGCATTTCTTATTGAGTGTAGGACAGTGCTGTTTAGTTTTGCAGTGAGATGAGAACTGCTCTGCTGTCACTCTGACAGCATGTTCAGCAGTAGTGGTTCAGAAAGACTCTGAAAAGGCATTGATCTCAGTCTAAAGTTTGTCCCTAACATCTCCTGGGAGTGAAACTTGTATTTTGCAGGCCACCGTAATTGATTTTTTTTTTAATTTTTTTTTTTGCTGCTTAGGGTTTTGGTAACAACTTTGCAGTTTATTTTGCCAGGTCTCTCTTTGGTTAGTGGAGAAATACAAGTATACGCAGAAGGCAGCATTTCCCATAAGGGTGGTTGACCACTGGAACAAGACTGAAGAAGTGGTGGGATGTTCATCCACAGAGACGTTCAGAACTCAGCAGGACTGAGCCCTGCACAGCCTGAGGCTGTTGGGCCAGCTCTGACTGGGAGATTGGACTAGATGACCTTGAGGGGTCCCCTCCAGCCTCAATTATTCTGTAATTCTAAACAGTTTATTAGTCCTTTTCTCTACTGGTGTTTAAAACAAAAATAAATACAAGGAAAAGTAATGGTTGTCTTTCTGAATTAGTTCCTAACATCAGTGTTTTGCATGAAATTCCAGCTTTTCTTTTGCTTCTGAGGACCTTGATGTGGTGGTATTAGACCACCAGTGAAAATGTGTGTGTGCTCTTTACTTTCTTAGATTGCACCCCCAGCCAAAAAAAAAGTTGCCATATTTTATGGGAGTGCTATATTCCTTCATTTCACTGCTGCACTTCCCAAATGCCCTCTCTGTCCTATTGTTGTTTTATATCATTACTCCTAGTGTCTCCCTTTAACAGCAATAGTAGATTTTCTTGTATTCCTGTTTCTCTTTTGCTCTTTCTCTTTATGGAAGAGAGTCAGCTGTTGTCCCTTCCTCTGCAGCTGACTCTGTGCTCCTTTTTTCCTTCCTTTTCCCATTGTCAGTATTTGTCCTGTCCTGCCACCTTCCTGCTCCTCTTCCCTTTTCTAGCTGGAGACAAATCAACACGTACATGTGTACTTAGAAGGATGAACATAAATGGAGTATTATTTTAGTGAAGGGGATATTGCTGCGTACAGTCAGCTCTATAGACAAAGAGGTAATCTGCTCCAGTTTGTGGCTCCACTCATACGTGTTGGAGTTAATGCATTTGCAGTTTTTCTGTCTTCCTTTCTAATTTCTTCCAAAATCAATGAGTTGGGGCTGTTCAGCCTGGAGAAGGCTCTGGGGAGACCTTATTGCAGCCTTCCAGTTCCTCAAGGGGTCCTACAGGAAAGCTGAGGAGGGACTTTTTACAAGGGCAGGTAGTGGTAGAACGAGGGGGAGTGGTTTTAAACTGGAAGAGGGGAGATTTAGACTGGATATTAGGGGGAAATTCTTTACTGTGAGGGTGGTGAGACACTGGCACAGGTTGCCCAGGAAAGTTGTGGATGCCCCATCCCTGGAATTGTTCAAGGCCAGGTTGGATGGGGCTTTGGGCAACCTAGTTTGGTGGGAGGTGTCCCTGCCCATGGCAGGAGGTTGAACTGGATGAGCTTTAAGGTCCATTCCAACCCAAACCATCCTATGGTTCTGTGATTCAGTACCTTTCAGCTTATTGCGCAACATGCCACACAGATTTTGCCAGCTGAGCTAGGTGCAGAGAGCTTTCTAAATATGTTGGGTTTGTGATAGAAGTGTATGGTTAAGAAAAGAGATAAAAAATGATCCTATTGGTATTTCGTTCTGAGCTGATACGCTCTAACTTTGTGTAAGAAATTGGCTGCATGGCCTTGCAACTGCTGTTACAGCTTGTGATTGGAACCCAAACTGATGAAAGTAATTCAATTCTTAGCATCCTGGTAGTGGAAATCATAGGTATAGGACTAAAACGTTAATGATATGCTTTTGTCAGTAGCATGAGTTATGGCTTAGTTCTGCATTTTCTTTTTACTGAATAAGTTTAATAGCAAGTATGAAATAGAGTGGGTTTAAATAGATGATATGCTGGGAAATCTTTCATGTAACATACATAAATGAGTGTCATTTGTCTACATAGAGTTTGCATGCTCTGCATTGTATAGAACTTAGAGTGCTGTAAAAGGGAGATTATCTAAAGATGATGTGAAAGTTTTCCAGCTAGTATCTTGGTCATGTCTCAGTCAAAATTTTGCACTTAACATGTTTTTAGTAACTGTAGACAGTTGAAGCAGGTAGTAATATTTGTTTTCAGGAAGACATTTTAGTTCATATACCTGATGCAAATGATACAGTAATACATACTTATAGCATCGTTTTGTAGCTAGGAATACAGGCACTACGTTGTAAGATGAACAAAATGAAGTGATAGTGATGGACAAGATGTCAGAAAGGTGTTGTATTTCATATCTATTTAATTGTGTTTACATAGTGGTACCTCTTAAGTATGTACAGACACTTTTAATAAGTGGATGTAGTGTCTTTGGACATCTGATGTAGCAGCTGTGATGTGCTGTTTGAAAGCTGGACAAAGTTGCAGAGGGTTGCAGTATCAGATGGGAGCTTCTAAACCACTCTCCGCTGTAAGAAATGTGCATCCAGTTCAGTTTAAATTTAATTTGATAGAACTTGACAGCTGCTATGGTTCCAGCATTGTAATACTGCAATCTTCACCCCAGTATCAGTTCTGTTTGGCTGACAAAAGTAATTCTACAGTCAAGCTGCTTACAGCAATCAGTGAAGCTTGTTCTCATGACTAAAATAGTTACAGTTTTTTAATTTTTCAGAGTAGTTCTGAAATAATAATATAAAAGTGACAATGGCACAAAATAGTATTTAATATTTTTTTCTTTATATTCCTTTATGTCCTTCACTAGATGTCACTAGTAGATTTGGGAAAGAAACTTTTAGAAGCTGCACGAGCAGGTCAAGATGACGAAGTTCGTATTTTGATGGCAAATGGAGCACCTTTTACCACAGACTGGGTAATAACAACTTTTGTGGTGTTTGGTAAATCCTCTTACTTTTCTCACCTGAAGAAGAAAATCAGATTATTACAATTAAACATTTATATTGCAAACCTTGGGAGTTTCTTCTTGGAATTCTGCAGTCACATCATCTAATGTCTAATTAAAAGTTAAAATTGTGTATTTGTTCATATGATCTACTGATTTTTTTAACAGACTGTGAATGAGCTTGCTCTGGTGGTTTTTAAGCTGAACTTTGGAATGGTTAATGGGAGAAATTAGCAATCATCCTCCCAGTTATTGTGTTTATGCATTTAGTATAGTAAGAAGGCTGAATTAAGAAAGCAATCCCAGCTACCTAATATGTGCAGCTGAGGGTTCCCTGGTGTAGGGGCTCTGAGTTGTCTTTTGGAGGTGCTTATTTTGAAATAAGCTATATGGGGAGGACAGGTACCTAAATTTTTAGGATATTTACAAGCCCTTAAAAGCCTTAATCTATTTAGTGACCTAACTTTCAAGTTGACTCTGTTTTGAGTAGGAGATCGGATTTCAGTGACTTCCAGAGGTCCCTGCTAGCGTTGATACAGCGTGTTGATCAAAACTAAAAATAGGGTTAGGCTGCTTGAATCACCACACCTCAAAAAGACACAAAAAGCATAGCACAGACCTGAAAAAGGTGCTTCCGGTGAGCTGTTTTTAGTGTGTTGTGATTATTGATTTTAATTTAATAATAATTTTTTTTTCCTCCTTCATACTCTGTAAAATCCCCAACAGCTTCTTTCTTTGACACTTGCAAGGGAAAATTATCTTAAAGTGGTAGCTTGACACCTGAGTTTGTTAGCTCTAGAATAAGAAGAAATACTTCTTACTGACATCTGTTAGAACTCCACTTTTTCCGTTACGTTCCAGTTGGGAACATCTCCACTTCATCTAGCGGCACAGTATGGACACTACTCAACAACAGAAGTGTTGCTGCGAGCAGGTGTAAGTCGGGATGCCAGAACCAAAGTGGACAGGACTCCGTTACATATGGCAGCATCAGAAGGCCATGCCAGCATAGTAGAAGTCTTACTTAAGGTAAAGACTGCTGAAACAAGGTCTTAGGCGGGAACACTACAGTGGTTTATGATCAAATATGTGCAATTTCCTCTTTGTCATTAAGCCAACATTGAAATGATATTAATATTTATACTGAGTGCTTTGTTCTCCTATTAAACTGTAATTTATTTTAGCATTAAAATAATCGTGATTTCAGGTGAATTATTTATTGCTGTGTTAAAATGAGACTACTTCCTAATTTGACATTGTGTTAGTAACAGCTTTTAGAACCAAGACACACTATGTTTTAGGGAATCTTTAATCTTTTGAGGTAAATAATTTATTTGGTAGTTAGATTTAAGTACTTTTAATAAATATGTAAATGAAAGGTAACAGGACATTACTGATAGAGAAAAGTCATAGAATGAAGCCCAAAATTGTCTGTTATTTAATTCAGATACTTCCAATGACATAGTTCCTGCAATGATCTTGTTTGTAGCACGGTGCTGATGTCAACGCGAAGGACATGCTCAAAATGACTGCACTTCACTGGGCTACTGAACATAACCACCAAGAAGTTGTAGAACTGTTAATAAAGTATGGAGCAGATGTTCATGCTCAGAGTAAATTTTGCAAAACGGCATTAGATATTGCAGTAGACAACGGAAATGAGGACCTTGCAGAAATATTACAGGTAACTTTCGATTCACTGTGTTGAAGGAACCTACAGCAAAGTACTTTGTTACACACATAACTAAGCTTTTAATATAGCAGCTGTGAGACCATACATTGACTGACAGTGCCAAGCTCCTGTCTAGTTGATAGCATGCACATGAGACTAATGTTAGTAAACTTCAGGTGCCTGAAGAGCATTTTCACCACCTCCAAAGTCGAGGAGTTGTGGTACACAGAACTAGGTGGAGTCTTCACAAGCAATGTGTAGAGCTTAACTCCCTACTCTGTCAATAGATTTTGTCAATACCCTAGTCTTCAATTAGCTTCATATATGGATATTAATTTCCTAACAATTGGAGATGAGGAGAGGAGAGAAAAAATGTCAGTTTTTCCTGAATTAGTAAAACTAGGATTGAATTGTTGAGGTCATTGGCATCAGGATTATAATAGATACTTCCATGGAAATGTGTGCTCACAGTTCAATAGTGATCTTAAAGGAAAATTAATGGCTGTTACTGAGAATAGAAAACAAAGCATAAAATACCATTATGCCACTGCATAAATCTGTTGTTCCCCTACATGTTGGACTGTATGAACTTTTGGTCTGTTTCATTAGTCTCCTTTACATCGCAGAAAGGATATAGTAAATAAAAGTCAGTAATAATTCAAAGAAAAATGAGAAGAAGAATGTCACCTACAATTCATGGTAATTACTAAGCTGCTGGAGCTGATTTTTCATGTCCTGTAGCTGCCACAGCACTCTTGGTTCTTCAGACCTCTACATACGTGAGCTTGCACGTCTGCGTAAAGGGCCTTGTCTATGGTCCTCTTTGTCTACAATAAATAGTAAGGTGAAGTAGCAGTGTGTTGTCATTCTCTTTCATTTCAACAGACTTTGTCTTTAGATTTCAGCCAAAAAAAAAAGTTTCTCCTGTACTTATACAGAGTACAAGATGTGACATGACAGGTGTATATTGCATCATGAGGAAGATCCTCCCTGTTTGAGTGGAATGTGCAATAATTCTAGTTCTTATAAGGTAAATAACTTCTTTATACCTGCAATTGGAATGATATTACTACCTTTGTCTCCTAGATTGCAATGCAGAACCAAATCAATACGAATCCAGAGAGTCCGGACACTGTGACAATACATGCAGCGACACCGCAGTTCATCATTGGACCTGGAGGGGTGGTGAACCTAACAGGTCTGGTATCTTCTGCAAATACATCAAATGGCACAGGTATTTAGATGCCTATAGGATAGCTACTGGGAATTTGTATTTTAATTTATTTTCACCATTTGGTGAAAAGACTTAAGGAAAAACAGCGGTAAGAACAGAGTAGTTACCATGTTCCTCTTCAGTGTTTTGTCTGTGTTGCAAATACCTAGGTATTTGAAACAATGGTCTTCACAGAAATAAATTATCAGAAGTTGTATTTGCTTCACAGACTTCCCTTCAGAATAGCACTTTGGCTTAGCAGAATATTGCTGAGAACAGAGTGTGTGTTAGAAGCTTCAGTGCAATACTACTACTACTACTACTACTACTACTAAAGGGATTTCACTGGCTTTAAATTTTTCAGCTAACTTTTTCTTTTTTCATCCTCCTAGATGAAACAGGAGTGTCTGCTGTACAGTTTGGGAATTCATCAACGTCAGTATTAGCCACGTTGGCAGCTTTAGCAGAAGCATCAGCTCCACTGTCTAATTCTTCGGAAACACCAGGTTAGGAAGCTAAGTCTTTTAACCTCGTTTAAAAAACTAAAAGTACATAACTGGTGCTTTTGGAGATAGAGTTCACACAGAAATGAGATTACAATCTTCCTTCCTTTTTTCAGCATGAACAAAAATTTTCCTTTACTTTCACCTGGACAGTTGCCAGATTCATGTGTACAATTATTTCTTAAGATTTCTGACCACAACTGGTATTTCTGGGCCTAATGTGAGTAGCATTCATCTTGTGGAAAGGAAGCCTAATTCAGGAGATGGAATTCACATCTTTGTCTGCATACAGTCTAGTTGCATTTGGTGGAAGAATTTTTCACTGAATGTTTTATTTCTGTTAAATACTGGGAAATGGCCCCCAATGTTGTTTGCATGTACTTTGTCAGCATTTCTCTTAATTTTTCACCCAAAAAGCACAAGAATATTTGGAGTTCTTAATCCAGTTTGGGGATCTTTGTCCATTAGAATGGCTGTGGCTCTTCTTTTCAGTGTGAGGTGATCAGCATGTCCCACTTCAGGCTGGTATGCTGTCATGGCACTTCAGATAGACATAAGCCCAGCAATACGTTATTGCTCCCCTAGGAAGGGGCAGCCTGTGTCTCTGCAGTCGCATGCATGCTCTGAAGTTGCTCTTCATATCTTTCTCTGTTCTTTCTGAATAATGTAGTGCTTGCTTTGTGTACTTTATCACTTTTGTTTGTTACAACATGCAAAGTGAAGAAAAAAGTGTCAGTAAGGAGTCCTATAATCACAGAATCACAGAACGTTAGGG